GCGCTGTGATGTCTCTAGAATTGAGGAGTTTCCTAGCAACGGGGGAGAAGTCAAGGGCAGAGCACGGGCGTGAGGAATGATGCTCTGAGGCGAAGGGGCCTTTTGGAAAAGAGCTTGTTGCGTGCGCGTGTATCGGTACGCGTGCGTGTGTGTGCGCGCATGTCTGTGTGTGTGGGGAGCGGTAGTGTAGCGGTTAACGCGCTGCGCTACGAACCTGGCGACCCGGGTTCGATTCCCGCTCACGGCGAACACCAGTGACGATTATCTGAACCGGTCCTGGGCCTCCACTAGGTCGACTCAGCCTCAAATGAGTACCTGGTGTGATGTGTAAACATTGCCCCTAGGTTTTGGCCCCCCACCCCCTCGTGTGCCGTGCCGGCCTTCATAGGTGCTTGCTAACAGCACTTGCCCCGACAGTCTGTTAAGGCTATACGGGGGATCTTTGTGTGTGCGTTCGTGGGAGGGAGGGAGAGGGCGCAATGGAGTGGTGGCGTAGTTTGTTTGGGTGTTTACCGTGCCATGAAACGCAGCCAGGCAAGTTTGATTTCCTGCCACGGCTTGGCTGACATTGGTGCCAAGCGATGTCCGGTTCTCTGACCCTCCTGTAGTTTTTTGCGCAGCCTTAAATGAGTATCGTCTGGGGTGGGGTAAGACATGGGCGCAGGAGAGACGAAGGCGGAACCGGATTAGAGTGTCCTGACCACACCGCCCTCAGTTGCGCCGTGGCTGCTTTATTAGGTGCTCGCTGACAGCATAATTATGCCCCAGCAGCGGCAGACGCCTGTTAGAGGCAACATCTCTACGTCTCTCTCTACGTGTGTGGGAGCGAGCGCGTAAATCTCCTTGTGCAGCCGAAGCACGCCCAGCCCACGTCTGCTGTTACCGCAGAAAGAATCGATGCTGAACTCTCATGGGGGGTGGGGGAGGCAGCGGGGGTACAATGTTGCCGCCGCTGCTTTGCGCCAATGCCCCTCGATTCACGGGCTAGGCTCGCCAGGCCGATGCTGTGCCCGCCCGCTCGCCCGCCAACCCGCGTGCCACGCGCCGCAACGTGGGTCCGCACGCACGCACGCTGGAGTTCGCGTTCTTTACTTATCTGTTCATTCTGCGCCTGTGCACTCACGGTTGGGCCCACGGTCGTTATTTGTGAGCTGTGGTGGTTGGGTGGTGGTGGTGGCGGTGGCAGTGCGGATGCCAGCACGCCAGATTTTGCAATCTGTAGGTGGTCTCCATTCCAGGTGTGGGTGGTGGAGGCGAGAAGCCTGGGGTGGGTGGCGCCCCCAAAAGGTGTGTTTAGTTGGGTACTGCCACCCGTAAACTGAATGAATAAATTAATAACATTCGCATGCGTATGTTATCGTGTCTCTGTCTATAAATTAGGTTTTTGGGTTAGATCGCGTAAATAATAATGCGTCGTTAAACCCGCCACCGCCCGACACAGGCAATTAGTAAGGTTTGTCACGTAAACAAAACGTGCCAATTCGTTACCCGTTCAGCACATCGGTGTGTTGGAGAGAAGACCCACAACATTTACAATTCGAGTACGACGTTTCGTCGGTAATTACAACTAGCGTCATCAGACGGACAGCCAGAATTGTGGATAATAATGTTGGTCGCGAAAGCCTGTGTTAAAGTGTCTCTCTGTCTGCCTCTCTCTTTCTCTCTCGTCGTCTCTCTGTTCTTTCATGGCCGTTTCTGCCAGCCTTGACCCAGCTATCCATGGCTGCTCCATCTACTCTCCTTTCAACCCCCCCCCCCCCAACTCTCATGCTTTCCCAGTTCCCATTAAAATGATTTTGGGCTGTCACCTCTGATTTGAGGTGAAGGTGGTTGAGTGTGGTTGCCTCTAAATCTTGCAGTCCTTCCGGCCCAGTGTGGAAGAATGGATTAAATCTCTCCCGAATCGAATGCGGGGGTCCTTCATCCGTAGTGGCATTGACACTGCATGACAGACGTGTAATTCACACATTTTTTTTATAATCAATTAATTTAATTGCAACCAACAACCGCAACGTGATTGTGAATATCTCAATCGAATATCAAAAAGGCAGATAACATGTCAGCCGTAAATATTCCGCAAAAAACCGCCCACCGCTCAACATGAACACAGAGCATAAGTAAACCACAATTTGCGTTCAACGATTGGTGAAATCGAGCACCACATCAATTATGTAATGCTTGCATGACCAATTAACGAGCGAGTACAATTTTAATTTGTCCCCCCACCCCAGTAATCTTGATTAGTTACTGTAATGACAACACGGGATGATTTCGTTTGGCAAACGGCAGGTGGTGGCGGATGAAAACGAACGCGTTAGTTACCGCCGCACAACTCGCCGTCAAAATTTGTCATTCCGAGCGCGTCCTGGCCTCGATTATTCAGACTTTGCGATGAGTCCTCCGTTTCGCATTGGCACCGACAGCACGGTGGCTGAGACTGCAGGAGGCGATAGCGGGGCGGGCGTTTAATCTCGAGCAGGGGGATTAAACCCGGCGTCGCCTCGACCGCTGGCGTCGGGCCAAAGTTAGCGGAAGAGTCGCGCCTTTCGTGACCCTTCATTTCCCCGGAGCGCGCCGGAGATGAGCCCGGGGGATGTGTCCGTTTTGGAAAGGTCGTGAGTTCACAGTTGTCCAGGTTACGTCGTGACTGGCTGTCTGTCGACGATGAAAAATGCAATTCTTTATCGTCATTATCAACAACCAAAATAATGTTGTTGCTTTACGATGGCCTCAAAAATCTATACAGGGTGGCTCAAAAGTAAAGACACATTGTCTTTTTATTAATTTATTTTAACACCGGTATTCAAACATTTTTATTGTTTCTTCTTTAAGATACTATTTTATCTATTATCATTATTAATGTCTAGTTAATGTTGTTGATAATGATGAATGCCTCCCCCCAAGCCATCTCTCGTGTAACATGTAACCATCCACCTAAGCACCTCCACACGAGCTGATTTGATCACTCCATCTCTTTTGGTGGACGCACTCTCAATCGCATTACATTCCTTGGCTGCCACTCCATAATTATTCTGGGCTACTGGCCATTATCCCTGTTGACGTTTGCTGCCCAAACCCACTTTTTTACAATTCGATTGTCTCTACACAAACAGAAACACATCGTGTTAAAAATCCACCCACTAAATAGTGTAAATCCCAGGTCTTCATGAAGAGATAATTAATCTTAATAATGAGTTCTCCACTGCTTTAATATATAACGTGGTTGGATTGATTTCAAAATTATTCGGTTGCTTTACGATGGCCTCAAAAATCTATACAGGGTGGCTCAAAAGTCAGGACACATTGTCTTTTTATTAATTTATTTTAACACCGGTATTCAAACATTTTTATTGTTATTCTTTAAGATACTATTTTATCCATTATCATTATTAATGTCTAGTTTTCTTCTTCCTGTGGGGTCACCTCAAATCCGTTGAGACAATGAAAAAATTGATGAATCTTCAAAGATTATACAAGCTGTAATCTTTGAAAAAGTCCAAAATTCATTCCGAAAGATAATTCACGAATACATTAATTTCAAGGGAAGTCATTTTTAACATTTGTTAAAATAAATTAAATTACCCTTTGTGATTATGTTAAAATAAATGTAATCACCCTGTACAAGGGTAGTTAAGAGTCTGACACGTGGCCAGGTGGCCAGGTGGCATAGAGGTCTGAGCACTGAGCCAGCGATGTTGGAAATTTGGGTTCAAATCCAGGTATCAGTGTATCCAGGATTAAACCAGGTTCTCCAATGGTGTGAGTTGGTCTCTGGCCAGTCACCACTGTATTAAATTAGTTTTTTTTACTTAAGTTGGTACAAATTGCAGCTCTTTTTGTTATTTCCATGTGATGAATATCTCTTTAGCAGGGTATGTGGGAAAGTGTAAAATGAGGTCACTTGAATGGATCTCGGAAATAGTTCTGTGATATCACCTTCCACGGGCCAATATCTTAACTATGTGGGTTGGTGCACACCTCTGCCAGAATTCTGGATTTATTTGTCTCATGAACTGATACCGATAACAGTTGGAAACAAATTGCAAAATAAACATTGTTAATGGATATGTGCTGAATGCAGTGAAGGTTAAATGTAGTTTTTTCAAGGATTTACGAGTTATGGCACTCCTGCAATTTCCCCCATCCTTCCATTACCCTTGTAGATTAATAAATCCCATCTTTTGCAAGATGGTTACAAGAGCAATTAATTAAGTACAATTAATTACGGGCAGGTGTGTGTGCTGTAGTGGCCTACGTGCGGCGCTGGGTGCAGCATTGCCCTTGATAAGTGGAGCCCAGACTCACCTTGGCCAACCCTAGATTGACTCGGCCCAAAATGAGTACCTGGTGACGTGGTGTGTCAACATCGGTATTGGAGAGACAGAGGCAGATGACCGTGCGTGTGTATGTGCTGGCAACCCACCCCCTTGTGTGCTGTCGCGGCCTTCATAGGTGCTCGCTAGCAGCACCCAACAGTCTTTGTTGTTCATAATTAAGTTTTTTTGGGTTAGATCGCGTTATTATAAATGTGTCGCAACCCTCTACCACCCGACACGGCCAATCAGTAAAAAAAAATGTGTCACGTTAACAATAATACTGGTCGCGAAAGCATACGTGTTAAACTGACTAGTCTTTGTTGTATATATGCGGGGAGCGGTAGTGTAGGGTTAGCACGCTGGGCTAAAAACCTAGCTTCTTGAGTTCAATTCCCACTCATGGCCAACACCAGTGACGATATCTGAATCGGTTCTGGGCCTCCCCTAAGTTGACTCCGTCTCATATGACACTACCTGGTAGGATGTGTGAACATTGTCACTGGGGAGACAAATGCGGCAGAGCGTGGTGCTGGCCAACCACCGCCTCGGGTGACCTGCCGTTTATCGTAGGTGCTACTCGCTAACAGCACTTGCCTCAACAGTCTACCAAAGGCTACACAGTGGATCTTTGTCTGTCTGTTTGTTCGTGTGCGCGTGTGCCAACGAACGGTCGCGCACCCCCAGCACCCTGAGGCAGGACGTGGAGGAGGAGGAGACCAAGGGCTCGCTGCTGTCCCGGCAGGAGCGCTTCAGCGGCAAGCGCTGCGTGCGCTGCTGCGCCGCCTTCTGCTGCCTCCTGAACGCGCGGCGCCGCTGCCAGGCGTGCCGCCGATTCGTGTGCGCCCGCTGCTGCTGCAGCCGCCGCTGGTGCTGCGAGCGCGCCGAGCGTGGCTGGAGGTGCCGCACGTGCTGCAAGGCCACGTGAGTCGTCGTTCTCCTTCGCACCGTTCCGCCTTCGCGTTTGCGCCCTCGCCCCGTGTACCCCCCCCCCCCCGCCCTTTTTCGACCGGCGCATCTGAGCCGTGCCAGCACGTGTTGAGGCGGGGGGGGGGGGGGGGTGGGAGGGGGCTGGCACGGCACGGGTGGTTTTCCACCGGTTATTTTTGACGGGGTTCCAACGCGGGGGCCAGAGGCTGCGGGGGATGGGGGGGGGCTGCAAAATGCGCGCGTGACGTCGGTAAGCGCGCGGCTCTCGAACGCATCGCGGCCTACGCACGCGTCTTTTGTGCCGCGCTAACCCCGAGGGTGACGTCGGTGGCACGGCTCGGCTTACGCAGTGGAAAATAAATCCAGTGCTTCCTGACCCGCCCCTCGCCAGCCCGGCGTGGGCACCAGCATGGCTCGGATGTGCGAGCGACAAAAGGGGGGAACCGGCTGATGCCTCTGCCACCCCGCCAAGGCTCACTGCTTCCAGTCACCAGGGTTGCTACCCGTTAGGGAGCTCACGATTTATGCAAGTAATGAGGGTTTGTTGGTTCGTCAATTTCAAAATCGATTATCACCTATGGCTGGGAAATGAACTCAAGTTGCCGGGTTCACAGTGCGGTGTGCTAACAACCGCGCCACCCCTCCAAACACATGGTCCCCCGGTTCCACGCATGAATATCTGTGTATGGGCATCGCCTATTTATGGTTTCCGTGAATTTATATAAAATTATATGCCAATGTTATATTTAGGTTATATTGAGCAGATGAAACGATACCAAAGAGCAAGAAAAAAAGAAATAATACAAATGAGGTGGTAAAAATGAAACAAAACAGAATAGATTCTGGAATATCGAGCTCGAATTGAGATACCTCGTTGCATCGCCCGGGATGGATGAACTTAACGATTAATCAGTTAAAACTATTTGAACACTGTATACGAAAAAAAACCCATTGTCGGTGGCCATTTGACCGAGAGGTCAAAAATCCTCGGTTTGATACCAGGTTTCAGCCACCCGTGCTAAAAACGGCCTCCATTGCGTTGAGTCGGTGGCCTCAGCGTGGTCAACGCTGACCGCGAAAAAAAAACTAAAACCCACCGGGTCAAATGTCACCAAATTTGGAAAAATTCTGGCTTCGAGAATTACAATATTACATTTCGGTTTGGCTGCCAGATTGTGTTATGGAGGGATGCACTGCACTGCAAAAGTGTTGCGGGTGGGCATCTCTTCAACTCTCGGCCCTGACGTGGAGGGTGCATTTGAAATAAAATTGTGGGAGTGAACAAATAGGAAAAAAGGTATGAAATTGATTCTTGCGTGCAGGTTACATGCGTAAATTCATGAAGCAATAATCTATTACAGTATTTCCATTTCATGTATGACATAAACATGGTTATGTTACCACGTCCATTGCAGAGATAGTCCATTAACTCGGCTCTTGTAAGCCGATTTAATGCTCCCGGTTAACCTCCGATAACTGTGTTCAAACAAACTCTGATGTCAGCGATGCTTAGGTTGTTGAGTGATTAAATTATTTTTTTTAAACCACATTCCTCGGCCTCCCTTGCTTGGCTGCTGTTTAGTATTGTACGAGGTTATGTAATATTTCCTCCTATATTACAGTACCGTAAGTGGGGCAGAGTATTTTTTTGTGCAATTACTAACGGGTGGTGAGAATGTCAACACGTCTTAGGAATTGTTTTTTTTTATAAATTACATAACGCGAGGTGTTCTGTCAATCCGACCAGCTGGTTCAAAAGGTAGAGCTCCCAGCAAATTCAAGTCCTGGTTGGGAATTGACTCAACCCATCATCCCTTTAGAGTTGATAAAGTAAGTACATTTTTGTGAAAAAGTCACCAGTGGTTGTTCTATTGATACACTCACCACCCATCTAACCTCCCCCGCCCCCCGCCCCATAGGAATGTGGAATTCCAACCACTGGCTCAGAGCCATAAACAGGAGTTGAGCAAGTGTCAATTATCATTTGAGGAGGAAATCAATTGGTTGGCTTTGTTGAGCTGAAACAGCAGTTTGGGAATCTCGTCTCTTTCGGTGGTGGAATTCCATCTGTTGGCTTTGTTGATTGGCCGAGTTAAAGCATGCTGCTGCCATATATTTTTTCTATTACTAATTTGTATTTTACAGGGTAAGGCCCCACCTGAGCTCTATAGCTCTTTTTCAGAATCGGCCTGGCCACAAACGAAGAGGTTCATCATGTGGGAATTCATAGCAGCCATATATTCTAAATGTGGAGGGAAAAACCGGAGGACCCGGAGAAAAATCCATGCGACCACGGGGAGAACATGCAAACTCCAAATACACAGGCGTCAGGGTTGGGGTCAAACTTACGACTGCCTGTATACCAGGCACGGGAGTTGAAATCTCGCCATCCTGCTGCCCATCCCACGGAGTACGGGTTAAAGCTTAAATATATATATATTTTAAAACCCATGGCAGCTCCCGTGATTTATGACTATAGCTTACGTGGGACCGTTCTCACGGCGAAAGGTTAACATCCTGGCTCTCCCACGATACGGTTCCCCCCCTTACGGCAGAAGCTCCGGCGGCGACTCCTCGGTAATTATGGCTAAAGTCCACCGGTGATGTCTACCGGTGTAAAGCGGGCACACGGGCGAGTCCACCACGCGCACCAGTGCCGGTGGCTGTGCTACAGGGGCCGCGGTTGGTCCCATGAACTGGAGGTCGCCTCCGCTCATTATCCGTCGGTTACTTCTTCTTGATGCCGTTGAAAGTAAAAATTTAATGAAATTTAGATGTTCGGGATCCGTCCTCTGAGCCAGTTTTGCAACAAACTTAAACCAGTGTTGTTATTCCAAAGAGCATGCTCCTGTGTGTGTGATCAGCGCAGCGTGTTTGTGATGGGCTGGACTCGTAAGAGCGCGCGATAACAGATGTTCGGAATTACAAACACGCAACGTGCGACATTTACGCTCCACGTGCTGGAGCTCTCCTCAAGGCTCTATCGCGGGAGAACCTAACAAAGGAAGCTCCCAGCACGTGGGGCGAAACGTCGGACAATCCTGCCGAACAACACGTGGCACAATCCGAACAACATGCTGCACAGCACCACAAGACACGGGATAGCCGCGCGGTAGCACAACCGTGAAAACCCACGCAGCGGTCGGTGCGTCGCGTGTTTGGGGGGTGTTTCTTCTACATGCGCCTATTTTTAAAAATGATCAGCACGGCGGTGCAGTAATTGGAAGCGCGGAGGCACAGTCGGGCTGCCCTATCCTCGGCCTCGGCAAAAGGTCGCCCTGTTGATGGCAATGGCAGTTGCGTGTCTCTGGCAGCCCGTGCCGCAGCGGCCGAGTTAATGTGTTGGCACGCTGTCGCCAAATAATTTTAAATTTGCCGATTGCTTTTGCCGTGCTGTGTTTATTCGTCGTGGTGTGACGGTCAGTGCCATGCCACAGATCCACCGACGAAGGTGCAGGGCCGTCCATGAGAGGAGGGGGGGGGGGTGGTGCGTGGCCCTGGGCATATCCCACCGTGTGGGCCCCCCAACGTCTTCAAAGTAAACTGGAACCATTGGATTTTACACTGTGACGGCAAAGCGTGCCCCTCCCCCCAAAGCGCGGGGCCCGGGGCAGTCGCCCCGATTCGCCGTAGCTTAGGGACGGCTCTTGAGTGTGCGTGATGCCGGTGAGGTGCTTAGTGTCCGCATTTTGCACGCTCTTATGTCGCGACTCAACGTAAATTGAGCACAAGTTTTTGCGTGCGAATATCGGCACTGGGGAGGTGAACGCAATCGTGCATTCACGACGTTTCGGCCACAACACAAGTGGCCTTCATCAGGTGAAGGGACCGTGCTGTCATGAGGACAGCATTGGAGTGAAAACAGCCAAGCCCAGGTCGCGTCCTTTAAGCTGTGTGGGAGGAAGCAAAACGCTTGACAAAGGAATTAGTATAAAAAATGAGCACGATGTACGTTGGAGGTGTATGGGCCATGATGGACCAGGAGCGGGTGGGGACCATGACGGACCAGCAGCGGGGGGGGGGGGGGAGTAGAGTGAGTGAGTGGAGTGAGTGAGTGGAGTGAGTGAGTGGAGTGAGTGGGTGGAGTGAGTGAGTGGAGTGAGTGAGTGGAGTGAGTGAGTGGAGTGAGTGAGTGGAGAGTGGAATGAGTGTGTGGAGTGAGTGGGTGGAGTGAGTGAGTGGAGTGTCGAAACGTCGTGAATTTTTATTTTTTGTTGTTTTTTTACGTGACTTTACCGAACAGAACCAAAGAGTATGGATCCTTGCAGTCACGAAAGCTTTAAATCTAGAAATGCAATCGTGCATGTAAGGTGCCGGCAACCTCTCCCCTCTATTTTCACTTATTAGGTGCTCGCCAACAGCAGTCTTGTCGGGAGAGCGCCAAACATGGTGGTTAGCGCGTTGCGCTATGAGCCCGGTGACCTGAGTTTGTTTGCTGGCCACGGCTAGCATCATTGGCGACCGATAGCCAAGAGAGTTGTGGGCCTCCCCTCTCTTCACCAACTCGTGCCGAATCGAATGGTGAAGTATGGTCATACATCTCCCACGACCGTTGTGACATGAATTAATGTGCGTATGCAATTTGTACTTGTATACTTTGTTAATGTATATATGTTTTAATGACTTGCTTACCGTTTCTCTATTTTGCACTCATATCCTTGTTTGTTGTTGTAACTTGCTGACCCGCCCCCTACTGGACATCTGTAAAAAAAAATAGCTTCATCGCTCATCGGATTCTTCCAGTCTAAACAAAGATTCTGATTCTGATTCACACGGGAGCCACCAATCGTTGGCTTGAAAGAGGACTATCAATTTACAAACAACAGCAGTCGAGCTTCTTATTTCTTTCTTCTTCGTCTTCCTCCTCCTCCGCATGGATTAATAGCAGCAGATTAAAGATGTAATTTTAGATTTGTTATCCACCCAATTGTCTGTTCACAAGCAGAGTGGACCTCGTGTCCATTCCCCCTTTAAAGGAGCGAGGACAGCAGGAGCAGCAGCGGAGCGTTGACGATGCGGCCCATGGTTTGGGACCTGCGGCTGCACCGCTCGCAGGCCCGCCGAGTCTTTGACGCGCCATTTGTGCGTAAGGTTGCCGCATCGGCCGTGGCCCGGTCCCGATTCGGTTCACGCAATCGAGCTGATGATCGGCGTGGTTAGACTGTGCGAGGGGGTGGGGGGGGGGGCTGTTTGGCGTGGCGTGCGCTCGCACTGTATACGTGGTGGGTGAGCTTTTGTTGCACGCCACTGCTGGGCGCTTGAGCCAAGCGTGATGCTAATGCTACATCAAGCAGATGCAGCGTTTCCAGCGGGGAGAAACTGGGAGGGCCCGCATTAAAACATGCAAAATCCATGTTCATGATCGGATCACACTTTTCTTTTTTCTCTCTCTCTGTAAACCTCTGGAGAATTAACGGATATGAAATGTAATGTTCCACGCACCGTGGGGAAATTATTTTTACATTTGCCAATTTTTGTTTTTATATGATCGTGGTGCCAGTGGTAAGGCACATGCAGGGGAAATTCATATATTTGTTTTTAGGTTGCTCTACAGCCGAGTGCAGTTTCAATGTTCCGTCCTGCGGTGGCGTAGCTATCGAGTGTGCAGGCAGTGCAGCTGCACAGGGGCCCACGGGATTAAGGGAGAGGAGGGGGTCCCATCTCATTCCTTGTACCAGGGTCCGTGCCAAGTGCACCGCGCTGATGCTGTGCTCGTTTTCACACAGTGGGAGGGGGGTAACAGAAATTGTTTGTATTTTATTGGTCCTCATTTGGCAATCGAAGCATCGTGTGGACGGTGTCTTTTTTTTTTTACAATTGTATCATTTTCGTACAACGGCACATCACGCTGAATTCGTGCCGGGCACAGCTCGTTGCTAGCTTGTCTGCACAATTAAACGCTTTAAACAAGTTGGTGTGACCTCCCCCCCCACACTTAATTGCCGTAATGAGAACCCTCGTCCCAGTGACGTTCATTAGCGCGCTTCGAGTCGGCGAGCGCGTATGTCAGTGGGCGTAATGAGTCGGTTGCTATGGGTCCCTCCGTCCCCCGAGGAGAGGGGCAGGAGCGGCATCCAATTATCCCTCTTATGGATGCGCCCGCCATCCACGCCCACCAGGCAGGCGGGCGGGCAGGCCTGAGCACACAGAGCAGCAGTGGACTCACTCATCTTGGGCCCCCCCCCCATCTCTCTCTCTCCCTCTATTGCCCGCCCGCCCACCATAACTCCCAAACCCCCACCACTCCTACCATCACTCCGAGCCCCCCCCCCATCCCCCCATTGGGAGCGCAATCAGCCTCGTGCCGGCCACTGTAACTCGCCGATTCGCACGTCCGACAGACGGGTTGGGAGGGGGGGGGCGGAGGCGGTGGTGGGGGATGGGCGGGGGGTGAAGCGGGAAGCGATCGCTGGCTCGGAGCCAAGAATCGCGGACCGGACCCTGCGCTTTGTACCCCGTTCGCTCTGGAGGAGGCTGACGATGTGACGGTTCCACGTCACAAAACACAAGGATTGTCGCCGATATTTATTTATTATTTAGTTATTTAGACGCCCCTAACCTCCCACCTCCCCCCCCATTGGTTCCATGTGGATTTCTTTAAATATATATATATTTTTTTGGGAGCGTTCCGGTAAGATGCGGTCAGACTGTAGATGTGCACCGGGAGAGAAGACGCGCGGTCTCACGGCGGCGGATGGTTAATACCGGCTACTGAAACGAGGGTGGGGTGAGCGTGCCACGTTTACCTGTGAGCGCGGTGATTGTCGTGGTGGAGGTTGCGGTGTCTTGCGATGGCTTGGGCGTTACGCGTCGCCACCAGTGCCCGATCGGCCCGGCTCCTCTCAATTCTTTTCACGTTGCTTTACATTACGCGCGCAGCAAACGGTGTTACATGTTTTGTTAGCGAATGCGCAGAGAGGGATATTTTAACTGTTAAAATATGGTGGGGAAAAAAAAATTGTGCGTGCATTCGTCAAATGCTCGATAAATTTAATGGATCCTAGACCGGGTTTGGGCACGTGTCGAGAAAGAGACAAAGACTATGCAAATGGGAGGGTGGCGGAGATGCCACCGGTGCAGGGCAGAGGGAGAGTGAGGGTGAGAGGGAAGGACTCGGTGGAGCGAGATGCGAGGACCGTGGACGTGATGTGAGAAGAGAAAGCAAATCTTGAGTGGCTGACCTCGGGCAATGATGGGACATCTGGCTTAGAAGAAGGAGTCGTACGTGTCTCCGTTTGTTTGTCGCGCTTCTGTCCGTATATGCACACGGCAGCTCCTATTGCACAGCATTTGAGATCGTGCGTCTTGACGGACAGAAGCGGCGCGCCCGGTCGAAGACCTCCGGCTTTGGGGAGTGCCTGCCGGGCGTCCACCCGTGGCGTCCACCCCGCGGTGTCGCCCGAGCGGAGTCGCCCCCGTGTTACTCACTCACCCACTCGCCTGCCTCTCCCCCCCTACTCCCATCAACACCTCCCCCACCCACCCCTTACCGTGCAGGCGCGTGGAGTCGCTCGCGCTGCGCTGGTTCTACGACGGCGCGCGCGCTCGTTTCGGCGGCTGCGGTGGCGCCGAGGTGGCATGCGTGGTGCGGGCACGGCTGCGGCCCGCCTGGGAGGGCGGCTCCCACCTGGCAGGTACGCGGCGCTGGCTCGTGACGCGGGGTGCGGCGGCGGAACTTCAGTTTTCAGTTTTTTTTTGGTATAGCCCTGTGAGCCATTCGGCTCTTGAACTGCATACGCGGGGGCGGGAGGGGGATGCGTTGGTGGGTTACGAGCAACACGGCACGGTGGGCTCGCACGTGGTGGAACGATAGAACGCGGGGTGGTGGTGGAACGTCGTTCGTCAGTGTAGCGTTTTACTTGGTCGAACGTGAACCGCAGGGGAACAAGATACAAGGTGGAATGTAGAACACAGGGGAACGCGGCACAGAGTACTTGGTGGGGGTATGGAGCACAGGGTAAATATGGTACAAGGTGGAACATGGGAAAACAAGGGAATAAGGTACATGGTGGAATATAGAACACAGGGGAACGCGGCACAGAGTACTTGGTGGGGGTATGGAGCACAGGGTAAATATGGTACAAGGCGGAACATGGGAAAACAAGGGAATAAGGTACATGGTGGAATATAGAACACAGGGGAACGCGGTACAGAGTACTTGGTGGGGGTATGGAGCACAGGGTAAATATGGTACAAGGTGGAACATGGGAAAACAAGGGAATAAGGTACATGGTGGAATATAGAACACAGGGGAACGCGGCACAGAGTACTTGGTGGGGGTATGGAGCACAGGGTAAATATGGTACAAGGCGGAACATGGGAAAACAAGGGAATAAGGTACATGGTGGAATATAGAACACAGGGGAACGCGGCACAGAGTACTTGGTGGGGGTATGGAGCACAGGGTAAATATGGTACAAGGCGGAACATGGGAAAACAGGGGAATAATGTACATGGTGGTGCTTGACATTCTGTGTGCAGTGGAATTTGACGGGGAGTTCTCACGGAGTAATTTCCGGGTCGCTGGTAGTTGACTGGAGTAGGTGGCAGGTGATGAGTTGCCAGGCCATCATATTGAGAGGTATACTCGATGTGGGGTGCCGGGTGCGGAAATGTTTTCCTAGGGTCCCGCCACGGACACACCCAGCTGAGATTACACCCTCCTGCAAGTGGACACGTGGGGTACGCAGGGGAACACAGTTTTTTTGGGGAGAACAAGGTGTATCTGTGAGGAAGAAATGAACTGGCAGCTATTGGCTAAAGTGATGGGGAGACTCTGATCAGAGTTATGTTTGGTGATAAGAGTTTAATTGTAGCCGTTGATTGAATTTGGTGCTATATTATTTACCGCGTTCATAAATATTAACTGATACTTTGACTGGGACTTAAATATTAATTGCTATACTTTATTATTTACGATGCACGTCAGCGTTAACCGGGGAAATTTGCTTCTTTATGATGGGAGCCAATTCGCGAAGGAGCAGTTGGTGTGTCACTCTTGAGCAGCGTTTAAGGTTTATTTTGGTTTTTTGTTGTTTTGCCGCTGACAGACAGGGATATAACGAAGCGTGGACAGGTCCCTCTCCACGCTCTGCTCTTTTAGCAGAGGTCCCGAGCCAAGACAGTGGCTTCCTTGTTGTGACAATAGTGATGTCGCAATTAGTGTGATTTTCATTTTGCGATCCCAAACCTTTAGGGGTCACCGCAAATAGTATTTCTATTTGCTTACGTTGTCTCTATGTTGCGCTTATATAATTTGTTTTTCGTTGTTTGTCGGATGTCATTTGCTGACCCACCCCAGCTGGACATCTGTGGAAAAAGAGCTTCATCGCTCATCGGATTCCTCCAGGATAAATAAAGATTCTGATTTTGTTGTACGTGGGACAGTGTATCCATCCGGCCGTGTGATTTCGGGGAAACGTTTTAGTTTTTTGTTACAATCGTAATAACAACGCACATATTTCGCGAATTGTACTCAATGTTCCAGAACTCAAGAGTGTGCAGAGCCAAAGCTCGAAGTCCCTCTTATACCAGCCCACACTTGCTGCTATTGGCATTTGAAATGCATTGCTATGGAAGGATACTGCATCTAAACTGGACCCAAAGGGTGACAAACGTATAAGTCAGACAAAGGTTGCACGGAGAAGAAGACAACCTGATGATGCAGGCAGTTATGAGAAGGAAACTGGCACTATTGGGACACACGTGTAGGATGAAGAACAACAACAGGACAATTGCAAGTGTCGACATCATTGGACCTCCTTTGCCAGTACCAAAATGTAATAATAGGGTTTTTCCCCTTTTTTTTCTGGCAACAAAACTGAAACTTTTTTACAAAGATTCATGTATGCATTAACCACAATACCTGCAGTCAAATTGCAAACAATAAACATATTATGATATTATATGCATTGTCCTTGAAACTGATTGGTCCACACCAAGGGACGGCTTTCTTTGTCCATTGGTGTGGACCAATCAGTTACAAGGACAATGCATATATTATCATAGTATGTTTTTTGTTTTCATTTGACTGCAGGTATTGTAGTTAATGCAGACATTAATACTTGTAAAAAGGTTTCAGTTTTGTTGCCAGAAAAAAGGGGAAAACCCCTATTATTAATTAAAAGTGTGTTCTTCAGAAAAATGGAAGTAACCGGAAAAAGAGGAAGAGCCAACAGAGAAAGGCTTGACGACGACATCACAAGAGATTGGTGCCAGAGAGACGTGGGGCACGACTTGAGATTGGTGCCAGAGAGACGTGGGGCACGACTTGAGATTGGTGCCAGAGAGACGTGGGCCACGACTTGAGCATGTTGGTGCCAGAGAGACGTGGGCCACGACTTGAGATTGGTGCCAGAGAGACGTGGGCCACGACTTGAGATTGGTGCCAGAGAGACGCGGGCCACGACTTGAGATTGGTGCCAGAGAGACGTGGGGCACGACTTGAGATTGGTGCCAGAGAGACGTGGGCCACGACTTGAGGTTGGTGCCAGAGAGACGTGGGCCACGACTTGAGATTGGTGCCAGAGAGACGTGGGGCACGACTTGAGATTGGTGCCAGAGTTTCAAGGACAATGCATATATTATCATAGTATGTTTTTTTGTTTTCATTTTGATGCAAGCATTGTGGTTAATTCAGACATGAATCCTCGTAAAAAGGTTTCAGTTTTGTTGCCAGAAAAAAGGGGGAAAAACCCTATTATTATTAATTACAAGTGTGTTCTTCAGATAAATGGAAGTAACCGGAAAAAGAGGAAGAGCCAACAGAGAATGGCTTGACGACGACATCACAAGAGATTAGTGCCAGAGAGACGTGGGCCACGACTTGAGATTGGTGCCAGAGAGACGTGGGCCACGACTTGAGATTGGTGCCAGAGAGACGTGGGGCACGACTTGAGATTGGTGCCAGAGAGACGTGGGCCACAACTTGAGATTGGTGCCAGAGAGACGTGGGCCACGACTTGAGATTGGTGCCAGAGAGACGTGGGCCACGACTTGAGATTGGTGCCAGAGAGACGTGGGGCACGCCTTGAGATGGGTGCCAGAGAGACGTGGGGCACGACTTGAGATTGGTGCCAGAGAGACGTGGGCCACGACTTGAGATTGGTGCCAGAGAGATGTGGGCCACGACTTGAGATTGGTGCCAGAGAGACGTGGGCCACGACTTGAGATTGGTGCCAGAGAGACGTGGGGCACGCCTTGAGATGGGTGCCAGAGAGACGTGGGGCACGACTTGAGATTGGTGCCAGAGAGACGTGGGCCTCGACTTGAGATTGGTGCCAGAGAGACGTGGGGCACGACTTGAGATTGGTGCCAGAGAGACGTGGGCCACGACTTGAGATTGGTGCCAGAGAGACGTGGGCCACGACTTGAGATTGGTGCCAGAGAGACGTGGGGCACGCCTTGAGATTGGTGCCAGAGAGACGTGGGCCACGACTTGAGGTTGGTGCCAGAGAGACGTGGGCCACGACTTGAGCATGTTGGCACAAGACAGAGGAACGTGGAAACAAATTACGAAATGTGCAGTGCACACCTCCGGGGGCTATCTGCCCATGGATCGTGATGATGATGATGACTTGCTGATGATGATGGCAACGTAGAGATCAGGAGTAAAACGGCACAAGTCCATCGTCGACTATCGTAATCACAGGCGCCTGCGTAACCCGCCAAGGCACAACAAATTGATGCCCGTCAAGCGGGTAGCAGCCGCCGCTGCCCTCCGCCGCTGCCCTGCCGTCTCGCCGAGACTGTCGTCGTCCGCCTGTCGACGGCGGCTGTGATTTTGCGCGAGATCTTTATCTCGCGGGATTACAGCGGCGTCCCCATGGCAACCGGATGGGGGCAGGCGGGCAGGGGTGTGTGTGTATGGGGCTGGGAATTTGAACACTGGCGTTTAGTGCATCATCGTTGGCGGGGCGCGCGAGAGACGCGCTCGCGGTTTAGGCTGAAACGATCCCCAGGTGGCGAAGGGCGAGCCGAATTTACGACGTTCCGAGCGGCAGTTGTCGAGTGATGGGGTCCTCCTTGCTGACGACGCGCATTAGCGACGCGTGGCGCGAGAGCATGAACACGCGTGGCGCGCGAGCATGAACACGCGTGGCGCGCGAGCATGAACAAGCGTGGCGCGCGAGCATGAACACGCGTGGCGCGCGAGCATGAACACGCGTGGCGCGCGAGCATGAACACGCGTGGCGCGCGAGCATGAACAAGCGTGGCGCGCGAGCATGAACACGCGTGGCGAGCATGAACACGCGTGGGGACGCCGCGGCGCGTCGCACGCACGCGGGGCGATGAGGCTGCTGCCCGAGAGTTTCAATCTTTGCCGTTCGCGCCGGTTACGTAAGCACCCCCTCCTTCCGCCGCGCCTTTGGTCGGACAGGGAGGTGCATATAGGCGAGGCAGTACAACAAATATGTTACTGGCATCTGCGCAGAGTTGGGATCATTCTTCCGATGTGCGTATATGTTGTTTTTTTTCTTTCTCTGCGCTCTTCACGTGTTCCTGACACGTTTCATAGAACCAGTGAGATGTTGGTACAATATCTCCATAAGGACCCTCCTGAAAAACAATATATTTTTCAAATCTTATCACTTGCCGTGTACTTGTTAGGCATGTAACTATGCACCGATTCAGC